GATTTTAAGAGAAGTATTAATTTTGAAGTTTTTGTTGCTGGGTCGTAGAAAATTTATGTATGTTACGCTGGAGGGAAATATTTTTTTCTGCCTCACTGATAGAAAATGCCTCATTTTCTTCCCTTGTAACACAAATAAAAAATTCAAAAAGTCCACACAGTTTGAACAAAATAATTTTTTTCTAATTTAAATGAATTTAAAAAACTTTCACTTTAAAAAATCATTACTCAATAACTATTAGGCCGATTTCTTTCAAATAAAGACTGTTCTAAAGGGATGGACTTGCCCTTTAGAATGATATAAAATTTGAAATTGAATATTGGCAAACTTTTCTTTGAACAGTGTTCGAAGAAGTTCGAAGTAATCTAAGAAAAAACCTACGAGTAAATTTTTTTTTCTTTGTCACCATCGTGTAGAGCATCTTTTTATTAGTAAGAATCCAATTTTTTTAAATAAAATACCGAGTAGTTTTCAAGATATGATTTTTTGAAGTTAAGGTTTGCTAATCAAGCATTGCTCCATATAGGAGAAATACATGTTAATCTTACTTAAAATTGCATTTTTATAAAAGTATTTGTTTTAAGACTCTTCTTTTGCTTAAAAATGGTCAATTGCACCTTCTTTGTTCTAATTAGAATAAACAGAAACTGTTTGTTTACTTAAAACAAATAAAGAATACCTGCGTACCAATTAAAGCAAATAAAGAGTTTTTTTGTTCTAAAAATGATCACTGATCATTGAGCAAAAAGGATATAGAAGTTTAAAGCAGTAGCTTTAAATATAAGAACAAATCTTTTTCAAATTAAATCACTTTCCATTCAGATTCCTACTTGTTCACTTTGTTCTAACTTTCTAAACTTTTTTTAGAAAATCTTTTGAGCAAATGCTTTCTCATCATTTTCTAGTGATGTTAAATGCAAGAAGTCACCTGATTTATTTTGTTGGTACGATTAGCTTCAGTTATCTTGTAGGTAGTAGTAGTTGTGATAACAGTTACACACGAAGCAACTGACTCATTGCATTCAACATCAGAAAAAAGTGATGAAAACATTTTCAAAAAAAAGTTCAGAAAGCTAGAAGAAAGTGAACAAGTTAGAATCTGAATGGAAAGTCATTTACTTTGAAAAAGATTTGTTCTTATATTTAAAGCTACTGCTTTAAACTTCTAGATCCTTTTTGCTCAATGATCAGTGATCATTTTTAGAACAAAAAAACTCTTTATTTGCTTTAATTAGTACGCAGGTACTCTTTATTTGTTTTAAGTAAAGAAACAGTTTTTGTTTATTCTAATTAACAAAGAAGAAGCAATTGACCATTTTTAAGCAAAAGAAGAGTCTTAAAACAAATACTTTTATAAAAATGCAATTTTAAGTAAGATTAACATGCATTTCTCCTATATGGAGCAATGCTAGATTAACAAACCATAACTTCAAAAAATCATATCTTGAAAACTACTCGGTATATTATTTTCAAAATTTAGATTCTTACTAATATAAAGATGCTCTACACGATGGTGACAAAGAAAAAAAATTACTCGTAGGGTTTTTCTTAGATTACTTCGATTTACTTCGAACTTCTTCGAACACTGTTCGAAAAAAAGTTTACCAATATTCAATTTCAAATTGCATATCATTCTAAAGGGCAAGGCTATCCCTTTAGAATGGTTTTTATTTGAAGGAAATCGGCCTAATAGTTATTGAGTAATGATTTTTTAAAGTTAAAGTATTTTACATTCATTTAAATTAGAAAAAAATTATTTTGTTCAAAGTGTGTGGACTTTTTGAATTTTTTATTTGTGTTACTAGGGAAGAAAATGAGGCATTTTCTATCAGTGAGGGAGAAAAGAATATTTCCCTCCAGTGTAACATACATAAATTTTCTACGACCCAGCAAGAAAAACTTCAAAATTAATACTTCTCTTAGAATCTCTAAATAAAATTATAAAATAGTCACTAGTACAAAAACTATTTTCGAAAAAATTACAAAATTGTTTTCTTTGTTTTTCCAAAAAAAAATGGCAAATTTGCTCATAAATCATACTATTTTTTGAACTTTTTAGCTTTTTTGAGATAAATCACGAAATTAAATCAAAAATGCAATTTTTTTGGAAAATTTTCTCCACACCTGTCGAAAAATCAATGCTTTTTTAAAGCACATTTTTGAGCTAATAAACTGAGTTTTTTTGCTAAGAGACCAAATTAGGTCGAAAATGATAATATTTTTGCCGTTTCAATTATTTTTGAACATTCTTATTAAAAAAGTTCGCTCAAAAAGACCCAAAAATTACCAAATTGTATCGAAAATTATGCTACTTTTGACATTTCTGAAAGTAAAAACAGGTTGTTGAGCTTTAAACTTCTTTTTTTGCAAAATTTTGCTAAAATAAGCCACAAAATCACTAAATTAGATTCAAATTACCGTTTTATTTTGATCTGTTTCTCTGGATTTAGTTTGGTGTCCTAAAAATCGATTTATTCACAAAAAAAAGAAATACAGCTTTTGAGTTAAAAGCTGTTTTTTTTTGAAAGATTTTTCAAACTTCGTCGAACACTGTTCGAGGAAAAGTTTGCCAATATTCAATTTCAAATTTTATATCATTCTAAAGGGCAAGGCCATCCCTTTAGAATGGTCTTTATTTGAAGGAAATCGGCCTA